CTGTCCGCTCTTGACCCATTTCTCGTAAAGGTATTCCTTATTCCGATTTTTACCCGGTTATCCATTCCTCCAACCTTACCCATTGGCAGGCTTGTTGGTCTTCTATTACTGGCAACAAACTGCGTATTCTTAAGAGTTGTGTGTCCTCGTGGCCGTCCTCCTACCACCGTAACCGGCGATGGGAAACGGCTCTGGCGAGGTTGTGTATTGGCCATACTCGCTTAACTCATGGTCACTTGATGGAGCACCGCCCTGCTCCTTATTGTCCAAATTGCATTGTCCCTCTTACGGTCGTGTATATCCTTGTTGAATGTCCTGACTTCCGGGACGAGTGTGCGTCTTGTTTTCCGACCGTCCCCCACGGTCGCTTGTCCCTCGTTAGTATTCTTGGTGACTCAGATACTTTTGATATCGTTCGCCTTATGCGTTTCTGTTCTCGTATTGGCATCCTTGGTGATATTTAGCACTCTCTGATTATCCCGCATTTCATGGTGCTACATAGCCTTCCTGGTTTGGTGCCTTCTTTTGATAATTACTTACTTTGTACTAACCATTATATTTTGTTAACACTACTAACCAGTAAAGTAATAATTTTAATACATTTCTTACTGCATAATAACCACGCCAAAAGTTTCCTAGAATCTATGGTGAAGTTACATCAACTAGCCCGACCGAGGAAAAAAACTACCTACATTTCAAAGAGTCGCGTTTAATTCCCCCTTCATATCAGTATTCTCTCTTAAGAATTATTATCTTATAATACATTTACTAGTGATCTAATGATATAGCATTATTTGCTGTGGATCATTATATACAGTACATACTGTTATCCCATATATAACAAGGAAGGAAAAAATTCCCTCTAACTTTTTCGTCTATATGAACTTTGTTTCATATTAATTACTCTGTGACGAGAAGTTAATTAAAATTAGCTCTCTTTTTAATAAACCTTATCTTTATTATCTCGCATAGTTGAATAAATTATTGAAGTAAAATTCTCCGTTCCAACACTTTGTGCTATTGCTCATGCGCGGGCGAGAGAGGGAGAAGGAGAGATAGGACGGCAGCCATTATTCTGACAGGAGTGTCTGAAGCGTGCATATTTTACCAGCCCGTAATTACGTCGTCGTTGCAGCAGCGGATGCCAGAGGGGTGTAGCAGCTTTATTACTCACACATTTGGCTCGGCAAACAAATAAGACGCTAAGTCCCTACTTATTGTTATATTTGTGATCAAAAATATTTAACAGGTAGGATGTTTGTCGTCAGGCCGCATGGACTCTAAATATCAACAAGTGAGTCTTATATCAGGTCATCTCTAGATTTTCACCTGGAAACAGGTGTAAGTTAGTTAATATTCGTATAGGTCAATTTTACAATCTACCCGTATTTCAGCTTGTGACCAAGTGACAAGAAGGGAGATAAGCCTCTACCTCAATCGCGTGTTCTAGGACATTCTGTTTCAACAAGTTTTCTTGATGCTACTGCCCAGATGCTTACTACTATTTCACCACACAGCTAAGCTGTTGCTTAATTTGCTGATTAAGTAGAATACTAAGTAACATTTATTTGTTGATCTTCAATATAAAATCATATGTCTCACTAACATTCTATATATTCTTTACCATTGATTATTATTGCCATGCATTGATATCTTAATATCTTTTTTTTTTAAACGCTTTACTCTCTAATTTATTGTGCAGGTAACACATTAAATTCTTTGTACTATTCAACCCCCCAAAGAGTGTTATGTGAGTCGGCTCTATATTTAATTTCAATCTACAATTCACTTAATGCTTTTGTATTATTTATTAATTATTGAAAGTTCCATAGGCACTGATTCCTGGATTTATTTTTCAACATTATATCATTAACTTATTTCCCTTTTCATTAAAGGGTGGAGCTTCATAGCTATCAAAATTTATTTTCATTATTATTAATGAAAGTGTTAATATCCTGAGTCAGATTTTCCCACAGGTCTCTCCTCTCATATTTATTTATTTATTTATTTATTTATTTATTTATTTATATACAAGAAGGTACATTGGGTTTGTGAGAATACATAGCATATTACAGTAATTACACTCTTGTCAAGCCACTAGTACGCGCAGCGTTTCGGGAAGGTCCTTAATCTAACAGATAATTTTAAGTAGGTAAATTCTCAGAATTAATAAAATGATAACAAATACATTGCAAGAAAAATGAGATGAGAGAGATTAGTAAGTATATTAAAGCACATTGGTATATTAAAGCTCTGATTGATTACATTGACAGCTTGATTGGTAATTTAAACAAGATTAATAGACACCATACAGCACATTGACAGCACATATAAGACAGCAATGATCACAATGATAAAGATGTTCAGATTGGGTACATAAAGATTGGGAGATTGGGTAGCAATAGATACAGTACAATTTTAAAGCAAAAGGTAAAAAACTATGAAGATGAAAGTAGGTACTTTTTCGTATTTTTTTGAATGACGCAAAAGTTGGACAGCTTTTCAATTCAATAGGGAGTGAGTTCCATAGACTGGGTCCCTTTATTTGCATAGTGTTTACTCAGATTAAGTTTGACTCTGGCGATATCAAAGAGATATTTATTTGTGGTGTGGTGATAATAGGTCCTATTACATCTGTCCAGGGAAAGTTTCAGAGCATGGTTTGCATTTAAGAACTTGGTTTTGTAAATGTAGTTGACACCAGAGAATTTGTGGAGTGAGATTATGTTTAGCATGTTTAGGGAGTTAAACAAGGGGGCTGAGTGTTGTCTGAAAGCAGAATTTGTTATTATTCTGATAGTAGATTTTTGCTGGGTGATGATGGACTTGAGGTGGGTTGCAGTGGTTGAACCCCATGCGCAGATACCATAATTAAGATGGGGATAGATTAGTGCATAATATAGAGAGATGAGAGCAGAGTTAGGTACATAATATCTGATTTTGGAGAGTATACCAACTGTTTTAGAGGCTTTCTTAGGTATGTTTTGTATGTGGGTACTGAAGTTGAGTCTCTTATCTAGGAATAGGCCGAGAAACTTTCCATCATTTTTATTGCTAATGTTTACATTGTCTATCTGAAGCTGAATTGCATTTGTAGATTTGCTTCCAAATAAGATGTAGTAGGTCTTTTCTATGTTAAGTGTTAGTTTGTTGGTTGACATCCATAAGTGGACTCTTTTTAGTTCATTATTAACAACATTATTTAGTGTATGTGGGGTTGGGGTTAGAGTAGATGAGGGTAGTATCATCAGCAAACAAAATAGGTTTCAGAATGTTAGAGACATTGATGTATATAAGAAATAGGAGAGGTCCCAAAATGCTGCCCTGTGGCACTCCAATGGTTATTGGTAGAGTGGGAGAGGTTATATTTTTGATGGCTACACATTGGTGTCTCACTAAAATAGGATTGGATATAGTCCAGTGTATGGCCTCGGATTCCATAATGATGGAGTTTACATAAGAGGTAATTGTGATTAACAGTATCAAAGGCCTTTCTCAGGTCAATGAAGAGTCCAAATGGAAACTCATTTTTGCCATGGGCTGAGTAAATTATATCAAGAAGACTAATAATTGCATCGTTGGTACTCTTTTGGGAGCGGAAGCCAAACTGACAGGGGCTAAGAATGTCGAGTTTTACGAGGTAGGAGTAGAGCTGTTTGTAGATAATTTTTTCAAATATTTTTGATAGTATGGGTAGGTTTGATATTGGTCTATAATTGTTTGTCTGCCGGATTACCTCCTTTATGAACTGGCGTTAATCTTGCTTTTTTAAGGATATCAGGGAAGGTATGACACTCAAGGGATTTGTTGAACAGCAGAGCTATAGGTGGCGCAAGGGCGTGGGAGGCGCTCTTGTATACAATGGATGGTATTTCACTGATGTTCCCAGCTTTGGTTTTTAGTGAGTGTATGATGGACACAACATCTGTCGGGCTGACTGGTGAAAGGAGAAGAGAGTTTGGATAGCTACCTGAGAGATATGCGTTGATATGTGTCTGAGTCAGTGGGATTTTACTGGCAAGGTTAGCACCAACCGATGAAAAGAAGCTATTGAATTCATTCGCCATTTCCACATCAGATGACGGTGTAAGGCCATCCTTAGAGAGTGTTATCTGGTTGTGGGAGTGTTGTTTAGTTCCTAGGATATTAGAGATGGTTTTCCATGTGCTTTTCATGTTGCCTTTTGCTTCTTTGAATCTAGTCTCATAATATGAAAGTTTAGGTTTTCTTATGATAATGGTAAGCACTGATGAGAACCTCTTAACTACTTCCTTTGTAACTAGGCCAATCCTAAATTTCTTTTCATATTCACGTTTTTTTGTTGATTGATTTGATTATGCCACTTGTGAGCCACGGGTTGTTTTTTCTTTTATCAGTTACTTGTTTGGTAATGAGGTACATTCATTCTGGTTCATTCTCAACGAAAAACTATACTTGAGGTTATCTTGAGATGATTTCGGGGCTTTAGTGTCCCCGCGGCCCGGTCCTCGACCAGGCCTCCACCCCTAGGAAGCAGCCCGTGACAGCTGACTAACACCCAGGTACCTATTTTACTGCTAGGTAACAGGGGCATTGGGTGAAAGAAACTCTGCCCATTGTTTCTCGTCGGCGCCCGTGATCGAACCCGGGACCACAGGATCACAAGTCCAGTGTGCTGTCCGCTCGGCCATATGCCTAGCACATGGTTTTATCCTCTTATGATAAAGTGGTTAGGTTGCATATGGATTAATGACATTACACACAATTATTACTTGTATTTCATTTAAAATACACGCATTAAATGTTATAAAGACGTCATTTGTACACTAGTTAAAAGGTCTAAGATTTGGTTGACAGAAATTAACGTTTTTTACGTTAAAATGTACGACTTTATATAAGTAATTACAGTGAGGTTTTTTACAATCTATTAAAAAGTGACTGAAACATTTTGCTTGTTTGAATAAAGTGAATACTGAAGAATATATTTGAACAATGTTAACGATATTGATGGATCAACGCAGGAGGCAGAATTCGCCGTTGGACTGTTTGGTATGACTGAGAGTCGCACTGAGGTTATAGACTTCACCTGGCCAGTCACCATCCAGTACTCAATGATCATGGGCGCTCGAGGGCGTCCAGTTGTGGACCCTTGGGGCTTCGTGCTGCCCTTGGAGCCCCTGGTGTGGGCGGCCATCCTGACGGCGCTGCTGGTGCTGCCTGTCGTGATGGTGCTCCTGGCTTCATGCTCCTCAGTCACAACTAAACAGTACACCTGGGGGAAGGACATTTTTGACCTGACTCGAATATTGTTACAACAAGGTTAGTTGAGTACTGTTTCTTAGTCAGTGTGCATTTGTTGTTATGTTTAATTAGATAAAGTTCGTTCGTTTGTTATCATATTAATTTTGTTAGTAAATTTAGCTATAGTAGAATAGTAGAGCAATTCAACCTTTTTTTTAAATGTAGGTATATGAAAAACTGTATGTTTGTAAAAGTTTTTACATTCCTATGCATAGTTTTTAATCGATTTCAATTTTTCAGTTGGAAGATAATGTATTAAAACATACAAGTAAAACAGAACGAGCGATGGATTATTTCATGAGACTAATCTAATTATTTATTGACTTCAAGCATAATAATCGGCCGAATATGTTTCATGATAAATTTATTTTGTAGTACTGCTCTATGCATAATTATGACCTAAAGGTATAGTTTTGAGATATCCTCATTTGGGTATTCTTTGCTATTGTATTTGAGAGAATATAGTTATATTCTTACACATTACTCTCCAGATTTAGCTATCAATTTGCCTTTAACAATGATCATAAATTTCGAAAGAATTTAAAACAAAGATTTTTTAACCTTTGAGCACATATCTGATGTTTAACCTTTGAGCACATATCTGATGTTAAATCTTTGTCACATATCTGTTGTTTAACCTTTGAGCACATATCTGATGTTTAATCTTTGAGCTCATATCTGATGTTTAATCTTTGAGCTCATATCTGATGTTTAATCTTTGAGCTCATATCTGATGTTTAACCTTTGAGCTCATATCTGATGTTTAACCTTTGAGCACATATCTGATGTTTAATCTTTGAGCTCATATCTGATGTTTAACCTTTGAGCACATATCTGATGTTTAACCTTTGAGCACATATCTGATGTTTAACCTTTGAGCACGTATCTGATGTTTAACTCTTCAACTGTAATGCTCTATACATGGAGAATACCTCACCATTACTTAAACTCTTTATTCCGCACGTCTTTATCAAGAAAGGCTAAATGTTCATTCCATGCCGCCACCAAACCATTGCTAACGAATGAAAAATGCTTTATACAAGACTCGACTGATGACTTTCAGATGTTTCTCTAACAGCACTTTACTAATGACCTTATTTCGAATTGCAACTCTGTAAATGCTTCACCCCACACATTAAAAATACAAAATAGTTGACAACAGAACTTAAACTTCAAACCTAACTTAACTTATGCCTAAATATACTAATTAATTAATATTAACTTATATTGAAGAAAAATCCAATATTTAATGAACTGCATGGTAAAATTGATGAATGTGTCTTTGGGGGTCGCCCTCTGAATGGAATAAACATAGCTTGAGAGCAGTTAGCAATATCTGCAAACATATGGGTAGCTCTTGCCACACAGGCTTGCTCCTTAGGCAAGTTGCATACCTTGCTATTAAGGATCAATTTGACAGTTAAATCTGACATTTAAATGACTTTTACTTATGAAATTGAGGAAAACAAACAAATATCCTCTCGTGACTCAATAATTGGTAATATTTATAAATTTTCTTCATTTAATCGTAAACTTACACTGCATGATTAGGTTTACGTTATTTTAGTTTAGTCATTAACTATATAAGAAGAATAAAATTGAAACTTGACTAAATTGAGCTTTCAATCTCTGTTCGTATTAAAAACTATTTAACATTGAAGTTTTGTTCTTACATGTTTTTTGTAACCAAATGCAAAGTATCATAATATATAATTTTATGAAATTTTATATATAGTACGACACACTTGCATAAACGCACAAGTATATGTAACTAAAGTTGTGAAGAGGAAGTTCATTTGAGGCTCGCGTTTTCCTCATTGGTGACTGATTTAATGAAAACAATCAGTGTTCTCTTCCCATTGCTAGAGCTGTGGGGTCGTTCGTCAAATAATCTAGGCAATCAACTACTTTTGTTCAGTCTTCACTCATACATAATGAAATGAATAGTTTATCATTTAATAAGAAAAGAGTTGTAAAATATATAAATTCAGGAAAACTTGTCTTATTAGGCAAATCAGGCCTTGCATAGTAGGTCGAGTACTGCGTTCTGGCTACTAGGTACAACATATATGAAACACTGATCATTTATGTGGGGAAAATCCACAGAGAAATGGTAAAGGGAGATGAACGTTTCGTCTGATCAAAGCCGTTGTCAACACCAGACTGACTTATGAGAAACAAAGGGAGGGTGAAGGCCAACAACTGGAATCACACCACCCATCCCCAGGGAAAGAATTACCCAAAACAGGTGTAGATTAGCTTAGAATAGTCAGGAGGATTAAGCGGCCAGAAAATAATGATTAAGAATTAATCCTTCTGACTGCAGAAGGATTAAGCAGTCACTAATAGTACGATTAAGTACAATTTAATAAAAAAAACTCCCCTTGGTACAGCAGGTTGTGTGTATTTTATTCCCTGCAATGATTGTGAGTCTGTGTACCTTGGACAAGCAGGAAAATCCTTATAATATATTTTGTCTCAACATACTTACTGTATTAAAACAGCCCAAACGTCTAGTGCATTGTATCTACACACAAATTTGTGTGATCACACTATTAATTTGGATTGAGCGAAATGCATTACCCTTTGCAATGGTTTCGTCGAACGATATTTGATTGAGTCTGCCCTAATCAGTGTCCAAATCTCCTTAATGTTAGTACTGGTATGTACAAACTTGACCCATTTTTAAGTTATAATATTGCACGAAAAATTTAAGAAAACCCTCTAATAGTGAGGGTTACATTGTCTCATTACAATATTATAATCATATATTATGTGTGTTCAATGAGGCTTTTTCTTTAATCATTCATACCTATTATCTGACTGCTTAATCCTTCCGATTGTTCTAATCTAATCTATACCTGTTTTTGTGTAAATCTTTCCCTGGGGATGGGTGGTCAGGTTTCAATTGTTGGCCTCCACCCTCCGTTTGTTTCTCTTAATTCAGTCTGGAGTTGACAACGATTTTGATCGGCCGAAACGTTCATCTCCCTTTTCCCACTGATCGTACAAAATTTACTAAATTTTGTAAGGTCACGGTTGGTCAAGTGGTTAAGGTACCAGGTACGCCAGTTGCATAGTTCTCCTGGCTGTCTGGGTTCGAGTCACTTCTAGGATGTGGAGTTTTCAGTTGTATATTGGCTTGGGGACCATTCATGATTGCTCTCATTTGTATTGTTCATGGCCCCCCACAAAGTGAGGTGATTCGATGAAATAAATATGCCCAAGCTTACCACCAAGTGCCGTTGGGATGTTGGGGGATAGCCTCGGCTACCATCATCTTTTTTACCATCACGGTTGGTCAAGTGATTAAGGTACCAGGTACGCCAGTTGCATAGTGCTCCTTGCTGTCTGGGTTCGAGTCACTACAGGGGTGAGGAATTTTCACTTTATATATATATATATATATATATAT